ACCCCTTATCATAAAAATGAAAACAGAAAAATTAACCTTTAGAAATACTTCCCCTCCCCCCGAGATGTTGCACTTTACAGAAGATTTCCCAGGAGGTGCTGGTGATGTATCTATGAGGCCAGGGCTACATCACCAGGGCCTCACACAAACAAGAACAGTCATTGTAAGTAAAAAATGTTTCATATCAGCATGCGCATGGCAAGAGTATATACTGCCCTCCCAATACTCCTCCTTTAAAAAAGGAGAACTATGAGGCGAGTGCTTGTCACTCACCTCATAGTTCTAGCCGACCTGTGACAATGAGACTGTCACAGGTCGGCTCAGTAGATCGGGAGGTGAGCGAACACATACCGGCGTTCGCTCACCTCTCGATCCTGTCACGGCTCTCTGCCGTGACAGTGGAGGGGCTGGATTCCCCCCTCCCCGCTCCGATCCGCCAGCGCTGACTGGCGGAACGGACGGGGGAGGGGGCGGGTACAGTTGGCTCTGCCTCTAGATAGGCACAGCCAGCTGTCAGTCACGCAGCTGGGCGGATCCAGACACAATTGTCGGGACCCGCTTCAGCTGCTGCGTCTCAGTATACCGCGAGCACTGAGCCTAGGGTGATGGGAGGACGCTAGTTTGTGTCCTCCCGTTACCCTAAGGAGAACTATGGGGAAAAGCCATAACCCCATAGTTCTCCTTTAAGCTCAATAAACAATGACAGGAGGTGAAATAGATATTTACAAACATGCACATTTACATTACAGAAAGAACCTGTTGCACTAGTTACAATTCCCAAAACATGTAACAAAACGAAAAAACAAAGCTGAAAGACTAATTTGTTACAACACAACGAGCTCAGAGCTCACATGCACCCTACCAAGAGGCATTCAAGTTTAATTTGAGGATAACGAATGGTCGCTGGGAGCAGCTGCGAGAGCGCCGGGACCTGTCAAAAGAAGCAGCTCAGCCTTGCAGCTGTTGACACTACACATCCCAGCATGTCCTTACAGCAAATTCGAGGTGGGAAGACCCAGAGCTACAGGCGGACTGTGCAAAGTTTGGCGTTCCTTAGCTCGGCTCAAGTTTATTATTGGTGACTGTTCGTTTCTAAAAGGAAATCATGCAGATTTGCGATGGACGACGACCAAGAGGGTTCATTCCAAACGAAGTGCACTTTTATTTCACACTTCCATCACTTTAAACAATCTGCTCCCAGACTACATCAGCCTTTCAACAACTTTTCAGTAGTAAAGCCGACTGAGGCCTGCTACCTGCTTGTTCAGGGCCCATTCACACCAGCAGAGAGTGTTATACCACAGACACTGGGGTGCGCTGTGAAGGAGCGGTGCATTGCAAGGTTTACTTTTTATTGTTTATCTTTATGCAGTGCAGCACATTGTAATGCGTCCCAACACACCGTGGTGAGTAGAATGCAGTACATCCTACTTTTTTCAGCGTACACCAGCGCAGTGGGATAATGTGAACTGAATGAATTGGACGCAAAGCAAAATTGCCTCGTCAATGTGTTGGGCAAGCCAATGCATAGGGTATGAATGGGCCCCTAAAGTGACAGTCAGCACTCCTATTAAAAAGGTCTGTGTTTAACATTCCCAAACTAAGGTAACTGGCAACTCCGGCCCTCCAGCTGTGGTGGAACTACAAGTCCCATGAGGCATTGCAAGACTGACAGCCACAGGCATGACTCTCAGAAGCATGTCGGGATTTGTAGTTAACGCACAGCTGGTAGGCTGGAGTCGCCCACCCCTGCTTTAAAGGCTTTTTTCAATATATTCCGATGAGAGAGAGAAGAGAAGAGACTTAATGCACATTAAGGGCCCATTCACACCAGATCATTTCCAGAGCAGTCCAGATCAATTCCGGACTCAAAATGCATCCTAACATATCCCTATGCTATTTTAACCCTCCGTTCACACCAGCGCACTCTGTTCCAGACCAGACCAAGCCAGGCCAGACCAGAAGAATACTGCGTTTACCATTTTGTCTGGTCTGAAATGCACTGGAACTGCGGCAGGTTTGCACTATTTTCCAGACCAGATCTGGTCCGGAAAATGGTGTGAACCTGCCCTAAGGGAGTAGAAAAATGGCCGCTAAAAGCTTTGCAAAGAAAATATGATAAAGCTTGCTGTCCATTTTGGTCGTTCACGTACTGAAGGCCGTAGGTACAAGTGCTAAGGGACTATTAACAATTAGAGGGACCCTGTCATTAAGCAATCATGAGTCTAGGAGGGCAGACATCTGTCAGAAAGAAAGGCTCAGCCTTGCAGCTGCTGAGATACTACATATCCCAGCATGCCCTAACAGCAGAATCAAGTAGGGAAGCTCGGATCTACAGACTGACTGTACAAAGCATGAACGGGTGAAATTTATCAAAATCTGGAGCAGATTTGCATGCCAACCAATCAGCTTCTCTCTTTCATTTTCAAATCTTACCTGAGCAAACTGAAGAGAGCTGCTTAATTGGTTGCCATAGGCAACTGCTCCAGATGCTGCCTGTTTCAGTTTTTAATAAATCCTAAGCACCTAGAAGTGTATTGGAAACTGTAGATTCATAAACCACTAAAGATCGGCAGCAGGACAGGCGAGTATTAAACCCCATCCCTAAAATGTCACTTCACTGGTCATGTAATACTTTCAAATCTGCAGCTTTCATTAAAATAACTGGCAGATCTTTCCTCGATGGTCCTTGTTCAGATTGTTCCTGTTATAGGGTGACAACGCTCTGTCCTTGACTCCCAATTTTGCTCCAGTGCTGTCATCTGGGCTTTCAATAGAGACTACAAGTGGCCATTTCAATACCCATTACAGAGACATTGCAGGATCCCATCCTGAGAAATGTCATGCAGCCATCGATGGAGTGCCTATAGATGGGAAGTAGTAGGATTTTTTTTTAAAAGGGGGCTGGGGGTGAGTCTTTAAAATACAAATGTATATACTATAAAGAAGGTGATTGTTTTAAACATGGCAGCCAGGCTGACCACAGACTTCAGATGGTTAGGCTGTGCATGTATTCACCAACTGAGGAGTGTGCACCCCCCCAGCAATGTCTATGGCCACAGTCTCATGTCCAGCCAATAAACAGAACCCTCCAGCCTAATCACAGACGTACAATACGGATCAGCCATGACAATCCAGCTCAGCTGATTGCCTCTCCTCCCCCCCAACCCCTCTGAGATCAGCAGGCCAGAGGAAGCCGCATTTCTCCCATACAATGAGGTCAGCATTTCCAAACGCCATCACAGCGACGGGTGAAATAATTGTCGGTTCTGTAACCATTGAAGGGTCCGGAAAACACAATCCATTGGTGGTCCTTACAGGAATCACTTCCCGAGAGAAACTGGGAGGGTCCCATTGCTGACTTCTTCCTTCTGCGGCTCCAGGGCGCCCATCATGCTGATCCTCTTACTTCCATATGTTGAGCAGAACAGCTGACATCACTCCGATTTCCTTGACATGCGTAGCTTGCAAATAGTACTGAAACCAGGGGATCAGTATTTCCAGGGGGGGGGGAGGTCAGCAATTACAGCTCCTGCATTTTAACTTGGAAAACAATGGGGTGCAGAAGCAGAGCAGCTCAATTGACATGGTGGGAACAAAACCTGAAGGAAATGTGTCAGGAGAGAGATACAGGGGTGGATGTTGATGTGACCTCTCCTGAAAATGCAAGTTCCCTGGTCAAGCTGGTCCTCTGGCTTTGATAGGTTATGGGGAACTGAACAGGGAGAGTTATGCAGATTAGGTACCAACCTTAGTCTTTTTTAGAAGTTAGCGAGTCAAAGCATTGAAGAGCATGGCAGCCAGGCCGGGCAACCAGACGCAGGCCGAGCTTAGCATGGCAGCCAGGCAACCAGACGCAGGCCGAGCATGGCATGGCAGCCAGGCCGGGCAACCAAACACAGGGCGAGCATGGCAGCCAGGCCGGGCAACCAAACACAGGGCGAGCATGGCAGCCAGGCCGGGCAACCAAACACAGGGCGAGCATGGCAGCCAGGCTGGGCAACTAGACGCAGGATTAACATGGCAGCCAGGCAACAAGAATTTGCAGACAGTGCTCAATAATTGCAGGATCCCATGTGTCTATTATTGGGTGTTCCCAGGCCATTGAATGTGTTTAGTGTTCTGTATCCATTGTTTCCTTGATTTAGTAAACATAAACCTTAACTGGACGATATTTACTTTTCTGAAGCATCGTGTCATAAACAACATCCATGATTGCTTTTCATTTATTTTTTTTAAATGTTTTTCAATCTCAGTCCTGCTGATCTCCTGCAGCCACTTCCTGTCTATATGCACTTGCTCTAGGGATGGCTGTGTCTCATCACTCATTGCAGGCTACCTGATAGCGACAACCAGGTTAGGAAACAGGGCTAGAGCGTTGTCACACTATACTGAAAGTATCTTAACAAGAACTTCCATGGCAGGATTTCCAGGTCTTATTGTAAGAAAAATGTAGATGTTAAATTATTGAAAGTTACTTTTTAAATGACTTTAAGACATGAGACCTTAGTGATTTACATACTATGTACAAAGTCACAGAAGATGAATAGGAAATGTTAGAAAAAACAGTGTATGGAGTTCTGATAAATGGATACATATCAGCGAGGATTTGGATACATTTCTGGTGGGCTCCGGTATGCGCTTGTCATTGTAAAGGGATACAGAGGAAGAATCATTAATCCTTGTGTACAGTCCTCCTTCACAAGCCCAGGCAACCAGGCACAAGCCAAGCCCAGGTACAAACACCTCCTACTGGGTAACTGCTGTTTATCCCCAGGCATGGAGCTGTCAGCCAGCACATGACAGGGATGCAAGTCACAACCTGACCTCCGCTCCAGATTCAGCATCTCAACACCGCTGACACTGGCACAGACACTCCACTTCTGGGGGGCAGAAGATCCCCAATACCACAGGTCCTCCTCCCTTCCCCAACAAAGTCACCTGACGCACTCCATATGCAGGGGGGCAGGAGATCCCAAAAACTACAGGCTCCCCTTTAGGGGGGAGGGGGGGGGGCGCAGGCAAAAGGTGCAGAAAACTAAAAGGTTTCCCCTATCCCCAACAGGCACAGACTCTCCACTTTCGGTGGGCAGGAGATCCCTAACAGAGTCACCTCGTACACTGGCACACACAAATTCTGAGGGGCAGGAGATCCTCAATACTACAAATTCCCCCTTTCCCAACAGCCACCTCTGATGGCAGCCAGGCCAGGCAACCAGATACAGGAGGAACATGGCAGCCAGCCATGGCACAATGACAGACATTCTCCACTTCTGGGGGGCAGTAGATCCCATTCGGCATACAACCCCCCCTTACACACACAACCAGCAAAACATCTCCGCTTTCTATGCAGTTATTACCAATGGCTCAAAGTAATGAGCACCAACCATCAGCAGTCTGCAGACTAGGGGTGGGTGAGAAGGATTGGCAATCAGGATGACCCCATGCCCGCACCGACCGAGTCTCTGACCATCATTGCTGAAATAAAGGTGAAATGGTGCGGAAGATATTTTCATTCCATATAGGAATTTTCTGTGTAAAAATCCCAACAGGCGTAAAGCCAGAGGCAACAGAAAGCTTCCTTTTACTCAAAACAAGTCGTCAACTACAATGAGATTATTATATATATATATATACATACACACACATATATAAAATCTCATAGCAGCCATTGCTTGTTGGACAACTGGTCAAAAAGTGCATAGACTGTACAAGTGGTCAAGATATCTCGGGGATCCCTTTGTACCCCTGTTGTTTCCATCAGGTTCCCAAACCAAGCCAGTTCTTTATTGCCACAATACACACATGCAGAAATTCACATGATTAGCATCAGCTGCGCATCTGACCAACCATACAACGTAGTGCCAAAATGATGTGCACAGCTGAGCCTCCATTGACCAAGTTCATTGCTAGCACAGATCACAGCATACAAACAATCGGGCACAGCGCTAGAGCAAGCGTTGCAGCGCCTACTGTGCGCCCGGATGGCATTTGCTTAGCGCCCACTGTGCGCCCGGATGGCTCCTGCTTAGCGCCTACTGTGCGCCCGGATGGCTCCTGCAAAACTACGAAATCGCTGCCATGCAAACCACTTGATTGCTGATCCAGGGCCCCCATTGCTCCCGTGCTCCACCATCTGCCTTCCAGCTCTCCGGAGTGTGCACGGCTCTACAGGATGCTGCATGGTTACATCACCATCACCCCCTCCCCTAAACCCCAGCACCGTTACTTACCCCTATGGTCAGTGTGTGTGCCTATGTCTCATCCTGGGGGTCCCGGGGCCGCCTGGGTTACAAGCTGTTGGTGATGGCAGATCCCTGGGCGCTGCACTCTCGCTTCCCCCCACCACTGATCTGTTACTGAGAGGTTTGAACGATCTGTTAGAGGAGGAGGATGGCTGTGACGTGTATATACGTCACATTATATTGTCAGAGGCCAGCGCTGCCCGCAAAAAATCAACCCTTGCAGGGGGGGTTCCCCCCACACTGGACAGTCACTGTGCAGCCTGTGACTGGACTGTGAAAGGAAAAGCAGCACAGTGATAATATTATCTGTCACTCTGGTCTCCTCCTAGCAGCATGCTGCTGGTCAGCACATAAACTGTTTGGCTCCTTGTGCTGCTTCTTCCTCTCACGCTCCAGCCCTACTGTACTGCAAGAAGCTGATACCGGGTCACATTCAGGTACTTACACTGCTTGTATTTTAAAATGCATGTTGTATTAATGAATACAGAGCCGCATTAATTTGTGTCCTTTATAGAATTCGGCTCTAAACCCCAACACCAGGCAAAGTTTATGTTCAGCTTGGAATCAGAGGTGCGCTGATGGAAGCTCTGTCAAATTTGTATTGCTGTCTGTGATTTTTCACCCTCTCTGTCCTGGTGACCACAGTCCCTGATACAGAAAGTGATGGGACCCCTTATGTGATGAAGTTAAAGCAGAACTATGAGGTGAGTGAAAATCCTCATAGTTCGAGCCGACGTGTGACAATGAAACTGTCACACGTCGGCTCAAGAGATCGGGAAGTGAGCGAACACATACCGTCGCTCGCTCACTTCTCGATCATGTCCCTGCAGAGAGCCGTAACTGTCACTCACGGCTCCCTGCATGGATTCCCCCCTCCCCGCTCCGATCCTACAGCGCTGACTGGATGAAGGGAGGGGGGGGGGGCGGGCACAGCTGGCTCTGGCTCTAGATAGGCAGAGCCGGCTGTCAGTCACGCAGCTCGGTGGATCTCGACAGTAATGCCGGGATCCGGCAGTGGCGGTCTCAGTATACCGCGAGCTAAAGCTTCCGATATACTGAGCTTTGGGTGACGGGAGGACGCTAGTATATGTCTTCCTGTGACCCTAAAGAGAACTATGGGGAAAAACACTTACCTCATAGTTCTCTTTTAAGTAAAAAAAAAAAAGAAGTTAAATCCCCAGCGCCAGCGAGTGTGCACATATTAACGTAAGCATGCATCTGGTGTGCCTATGTATGGAAACGACTATCGTGCTACACATTTCAGGTATCACCATGCGCGCCTACGTGAGAGCAAAAATTCTAGGGCCAACATGTGCACAAAATAGGCCTTGGCAGCGAAAGGGTTAAACACAGTAACTATGGGGTTAAGTCTTTTCCCCATAGTTCTCCTTAGGGTAATGGGAGGACACAAACTAGCGTCCTCCCATCACCCTAGGCTCAGTATACCGCGAGCTGTAACTCGCGGTATACTGAGACGCCGCAGTTGAAGCGGATCCCGACAATTATATCTGGATCCACCCAGCTGCGTGAGTTACAGCTGGCTCTGCCTATCTAGAGGCAGAGCCAGCTGTACCCGCCCCCTCCCCCGTCCGATCTGCCAGTCAGCGCTGGCGGATCGGAGCGGGGAGGGGGGAATCCAGCCCCTCCCCTGTCACGGCAGAGAGCCGTGACAGGATCGAGAAGTGAGCGAACGCCGATATGTGTTCGCTCACTTCCCGATCTACTGAGCCGACCTGTGACAGTCTCATTGTCACAGGTCGGCTAGAACTATGAGGTGAGTGAAAAGCACTCACCTCATAGTTCTCCTTTAAGAAGAAAAAAAACACTTCTCTGGAAGAAATACATAAGCTAGCTGCCATTGCCTTTGAGAATGCAAGTTGCCCGGGCAGTCATGCTAATGCAGCCAGCTTCAATGCTGTTTGAATCACAGCAGGTTTGCAGATCAGGCATTTTGTCTTTACTTGCCGCATGCTTACATAAGGTCAGTGACTCGTAGAGTGCTGAAGCCAGGAATGACCAGCATGACATGGCCAGCAATTAGCATTTTTCAGAGGGAGAGGCCAGCAATGGCAGACTGGTGGAGTGATGTCACCCTATAGAATGAATTGCTAGACTGAATGTCATTGTGTGACGGAGGGATGTCTATGGCTTGATACATTTACATAGGTTGTCGATGTCGCTCTCTATAGGTATTCCGGTAATCCTCACAGCCATCTGGAGCCTGGATAAGTCTATTTTCCCAGAATACACTGCTGGCTCCGTGACTGATCTATAGGGGCTCAGCTGTGACCAGGCCCTGAGGGTTCGCTCTCACAAAGGTCCCATAGATAATAGACACCAGTCTTCCCACCCGCTTCTGGGCTATTCATAGACACCACCAGCCAAGTCTTCCCTGATGGCGATCAAACTTAATAATCTGTGTCCGGCCGCGAGTGCTTTCCTCCTTACAAGTCAGCTCTGGTAGAATCTTCAGTTCAATTCCCCTACTCTACTCCATGGGATATACACAAGCACTTGCTAAATATGACTTTTACTATCTAAGAGGTCAATTTTTTTCTAACCAATTTGAAGAGCCAATTGCCCTGTGAGTCTTTCTAAATGTTCAATCTGTGCGAATAGATCCAAAAACGAATGTTCTTAGATATATTTTCTTTTCAGGTCGAATGTATGTAATGTAATACTGCATTTTGGCCACTAGATGGAGCTGAGGATGTTAGAGGATGTCTGAATGAGATCGCTAGGCAGTCTGCGCATGTGAAGTAGTAGGCTGAGGGCCGATCACGTGGGTGCTGTACACACAGGAGACGTGGGCAGATCCGGGAGAGCTTGGAGAGAGGTGTCTGCCCAGCTGGCCAAGGGACATCTGTGGCATGGTGATGTGAGGGGAATGAGGTGTTTGCAGGGTGGAAGTTGTGTCACCATATTGTCAGATCTGTTTGGCAGGCCTCAATGCCAATTGACTGGGAAGCCGGCTTCCCGGCCAATCAGCATAGAGGCCGGCCAAACAGAATGGAGTCAGATTCCCAGGCAATCAAGAAGTCGGGCAGTGGGTAATGACACGCCCCCTGGCTCCCTGATTGCCCGGGAAGCCGGCTCTATGCTACTGGAAGTACCAGTATCGGTACTCAGTATCGGCGAGTGCCGAAATATAAATATCGGTACTCGTACTCGATACCGAAAAAACATTATCGGTGCATCCCTACTTGTGAGTACTTGGACAAGTATCGGTACTTGTACTTGAAAAAATGGTATCGGTGCATCCCTTCTATATATTTATAAAAACAAATCACACATTAAAACAGAGATGCAAAAATCCCAGGTGCTCCGTGTGCTCCTTACAAATGTCAGCTGCGTCCTAACTTTTGAACTTTTCTCTGGTCTAGTCTTGGAGCTGGAAAAGTATCTGTACTTGGTATCTGAACATCCTTAGTTTTAATATATTTTCTTTTCAGGTCAAGTATAATGTAATGTAATACTGCATTATGGCCACTAGATGGAGCGGAGGAGCATAAGAAGTAAATAGAGATTTGCTGGCTGAATGGCTCTGCACATTGTTTATAAATAGACTCTGAATTGTTTTTCGTTGACTGTCAAATTGAGGGGGGGAAAAATACTTTTTCTTTTTTAGGCAATACCCTAAAATAATATTGTTTGTCCCAAAACTATACAATATATGAATGACGTCAGTATCATTAGTAATGTGAATAATATGAACAGCTATGATGTAGAAGATGAAGTGGATAAACGTCTCCTTCTCATTGTGTGATTCATGCTGCGATTGTTATTCTTACCCTCGGGACGTGCCTGTGCTGTATACAAATATCATCGCTTAGATTTTATCACATGAACAGAAATGTACACATAGAGGTGGCTGCAGATAAATACGTATGTTCATCCGTGGTCAGATTCCAAGGGAGGGAGACAGACATGAGCAGACGGAAGCTCGTTAGAGGACAGATGGCGCAATGGCATGGTGTGTAAATTAAACATGGACGTCCTGCAGGGTTCAGGCGAGTGGAGTACTACAAATCCCAGTATTGCAATCAATGTCTACTCTGCTTGACCAAACCCAAGAGCCTTCAGGGTGTCTCTGAGCAACCCAAATAAAGTAACTAGATGGGCGAGCTCCGCCGAGGACAACATCTTCATACTTGCAGACAGATGAAAACAAAGAGTTTAATTAATATTTAAGATTATAATCTCTTGTTAGTGACAAATTAAAAAGGCCAAACCCGAGTATTTTTATTAATGGTGTCACGATCTGGATCAGGCTCGGAGTCCGGTAGCTGAAGCAGCAGGCAAGGTGGTAAATCAAACAGGCCGAGTTCGGCACACAAGCAGACGGTAGTAGTAGTAGTATAGGAGGCGGCAGAAGCGTAGTCCAAGATCAAGCCGAGGTCAGTAGCCAAAGGTATCAGGTATGAAGTGGAAGACGACGAGAGTAGTCGGTGAATCAGCAGCCAAAGGTCGGTACCCGGGTAGCAGTATGAGTGGATTGTATGACAGGAGGAGCAAGGAAGCAAGATATCAGCATGAGCACAATAATCTAGCAAACAGGAAGTGCAGAGGCGTGGCGTAAATAGGAAGTTCAAGGGAGGAGCAAGGAGTTCAGCAGAAACTAGGTTTACCTGAGGATTACACAGGAGATCAGGCAAAGAGCTATCCAAGGTTCTTAGGTGGCTCAGCAGGTAGAACCACTGCCAGCTACAGCAGAGGCTCTGTGTTCAGATCTGGTTCCTGACAGATAGTGACCCAGTGCTGGCTGCAGTACTCACATCCTCTCCGACACTGTCCCCTGCAGTAATTTAATTCCACCACTAGATGTCCTCAGTCTTCCCGATTGAATGATACCCAGAAAACACCCTTAGAGGTCTATTTATATACAATTCAGAGGGCACTTTGGCCTGCCAATGTCTGTGATAGTTCGTGGCAAAAATGAACGTTTGTAATATATTTTCTCTTTCAGGTGGAAAGTATTATAATGTTACACTGCATGATGGCCACAAGAAGGAGCATAGGGAACAAGTATATATTTCCTAT